TTGGTTCATGTATAAGCGCAATCTGATGGTCTGAACACTTCCCAACCAGGCACCGGATAGGGAAATTGGTATCAGATGAAATCAATCAAAGGAACACACTTACCAGCGAGGATTGATAGAATGGGATTGTGAAAAAGCTGAAAGATGAAAGGTGGAAGAAGGTAAAAGAAGAAAATATGGTCCAAATCACCCAAATCACCTCCGCTGACGGCTCACGCGGCACTGGGCGGAGAGAGCCAAGACTGTCGGGGTGGAAATCTTAGATCTGATATATGGGGTATTGCATATATCTTATTTTATTGCATTTCATAGATTTCATATGTTTTCATAGGATATTGTAGTGTATATGATTCTTGGGGATCTATCTCAAGTACACATATCTGACTCTCCGCATTTGGTCGATGACGCTATGATCTTGGTTCTGCTTATCTTCAAGGTGGCCACTTTCATGTACGACATATATCCACATGCATCTATTAAACAGCTAACCTGGTAAACTCCGTTGATATACCTGCTTCATCAATTTCATTATGAACGGTCTCCTCCCTTTGATCAACCTCAGTCCCCTCTCTTGCCTTCTTGGCGATGTCTATATGACCTAGTGTATATTCGTCCGGATCCCACGCCAAAACTCTGCACTCCATGTTTTCCAGTTGCTAGGGAACAACCTGTTCCATGTCGCATTTCTCCTTGGAAGTCATATGCTTAAGTCTCTCCTTCCATGCATCGGCAGGGTCGGGGCACATAGTTGATCCGCAAAATTGCCTATCGATCTTTTGCCAGTATATCGCATCGAACGCGTTCTTCGCAACGTACGCAACCTAGAAATGCCCACTCTTCCAGCTCTATCGCATTGAACCAGAAAGTCTCTGGTTATCGTTCAGTTGACCCTTCCTGATCGCTTCACCCTCGCAATTGACCATAGCTTTTAGGAATGTCTCGAGTCGACACTCGAACTCCATACACCAGTCTTCAAGGCCACATTCCGTGGACCAGTATTAGGGCTTTTCAATATGAAGCCACCAAGGTGGCGCGCAGGAGAATTCAACGGAGACAGCGTATGTGAACTCCCAGGTATGCCTATGAGCGACCTGGAATGTTAAGAACATCGTACCGTACGTGTTGGTTTGATGATCTATGTATTCCATGATTATAAAGGAACCTAACTCCGGGTCCAAAGGGCCGTCCTTCCGAATACCCAAATGAAGGACAAAAGGAACCGGGATTGAAGTCTGGTCAAGAATGTATTGCATTGTAGCGACCTCATTGCGAACATTTTCTTCGGGAAACACGGTGGGACTAGGCTGTGGAAGACGTATGATAGCGGAACTAGTATTTTTGTATGACATTTGAAAAGAGATATTGAAAGCTCCCTTTTTCCAGAAAATCGAATGAATCAGGCTTGTCAGGTTCGTGATGTTTAACAAGGAAACGTTAGAGATGACTCAAGATGTCAACGTCGAGAAACTGGCTATTCAGGCTTCAGATATCTCTTCGCTTTTCTCTCAAGCGGCATCATCGTAGCACATGCGTGGTTTCATATCTACGAAAAGAGCGGTGACTTGGGGGTACTCTGTACAGATTGTATAAATGCATTTGGAGGGGATAGGGGAAGATTCAAAACAAAGGCTATCAAAAATTACAGGGGTGAGCACTAGACTTGAAAGGGAAAACCAATCAGTGGCAGAGGAACCCGTGGAGGTGATACATCATATACGTTCTACCTGTACCTACATAACTATGTAACTAACTAGTTGGTTAAAATGTAGGTACTTGTGTATATGGGGAGTAGATAATTGCCCTTGATATAGACTAACTATGTATACTAGAAACTTTAACCTTAAAATATCAAACCTTACAAGTCTTACACCATATGAATATGTTTTTAAGTCTCAAGTCCAATCGCTTTCTGCAGATCACCCTAGTCTTTCTTGGTAACTCGTGGATCAGGGTTTACGCCTACCCCTTCCCTGTTAACGCCCAGGTTTTTCGGTGCCCAGGCCTCTGATGATATGCAGCCCCAAAAACTTAGCCTCCCTTCCCCTCTTGCTCGTTTTTTTTTTTTTTTTTTTTTCCTCTCGTTCAAATGTGATTTCCTCCCTTCCTCTCCCCCCACAGCCAACACCTATGAAGGGAATCTGTTTGTGTAATCCAAGTTTGTAGTATGTGATCAAGCATATTCATATTAAAGTACAAGCTCAAGGAGGGAGGAAAAAACAATTTGGAAATTAGACCTATTACCACGAACTAAAGTTTCCAAAACCTCCAGACCCCTTGGCCTTTTTACGAGCGGGCTCAGGTACAACCTCCTCATCTAGGAACTCCACAATTTCATCTTCTTCCTGTCCATCCTGGTTTGCCAGTGCTGCCTTCAAATACCTTCCAACACCCGAGGCACCGTCACCAGTTGAGTCCGCTTCAGCACCGCGGACTCGCTTTCCAGTCCAAGTGACACGATCATTTTCCGTACGACGAGCAGTCTCATCTGCCTCTTCCGCAGAAGGACCTGTGGCACCTGTGGCCCGCGCTTCCTCGGCGCGCTTCTGAGCTAGGAAATCCTCGAACGGATCTACGAAGACCGTGATTTCCTTGATGCGGATATCGGGGGTAGGACGGTTCGTGTTTGGTTCCACCGGGTGGATCTCTAGCTTATTCAAAGTAGTGGATGAAGGGGTTGGGTCGTCGATGAGACGGCCAAAGACAGTGTGCTTGAGGTTAAGATGAGGTAGGGCTCGATAGGCAAGGAAGCTGGGATTATATGTTAGCGCTCATTGAGCCAGGATAATCGCAAGTGGTCACTTACAATTGACTACTATTGGTGTTTTTGCCCTTGTTGGCCATGCTCAGCGTGCCTCGGGCATCGTGCTTCAAAGGTCCCTCGAATTCATCTGCAAAGTATTTGCCCCAGATGCTCTCGCCGCCTCGTCCAGTACCCGTTGGATCACCACCCTGAAGCATGAAGCCCTTGATATTGCGGTGAAATGGCACATCTGTGTAGTAGCCCTTCTTGGCCAACTGAAGGAAGTTCCACACGGCTTTGGGCGCATGCTCGGGATACAACTCCAGATTAAGATGCCCGGCGGTGGTCACAATGCGCGCGTAAGCCTTGGCCTTCACGCGACCCCGCTTGAGCATGTATTCCTCTTCCGATAATACCGCTAGCTCGGCAGACGTGTGCGGTGTCAGTCCTGTGCTAGTGAACGAGGCAGCCGCCTTGCCCGTAGTGAATCGTGCAGCGTTGTAAGGTGTTGGCTTTCCCGGTTGTGACTTGGAAGCCACATTTGCAGCTCCAGTCTTCGAAACTGCTTTCGAGCCGGCCGCAGCAGAACCAGCCTGCTGGGCGCGTTCTGACCGTGCCTTTGCAACCGCCTCTTTCGCTTTCAGGATCTTCGCCGAGCTGCCAAGTGCACTGGTGTTGACACTCCCAGAGGCCTGTTGGTCCTCCAAAATCCCTGTCTCTCCCTCCTTGATGTAGTTGAACGAGCTGAGGTTACGCGACTCGATGTTCTGAGGATCCTGCAAGGTGATAATATCTTTTCGGCTAAATTCCTCATCCGTGACCAAGTCGCGCCACAATTTTCCCTTGATGTTGAGTCGCTCCACCGTATCCCAGGAAAAGACATTCCCTGTATTCCGCAATGCGACAATATGTGTATTATCCGTTAGGATCTTGTAGGTCACTGGGTCGACGTAATCGCCATCCTCGTTCTTTGCGATAGTCAACTTGATCAAGTCCGAGCTCTTCAACGGGGCTCCGTCAACGGGATTGGTCCCATGCTTCTTGATCCATGGCAGAATATTCGTGAGGTCGAAGAGTGTTCCTGTAGGTGTGCAAACCGGGTGTGAAAATGGTTGGAGGGAGAGGGAGCAGAAATTGAATGGCAAGCGCTTGAACGCGGCGTGGGGACCACCCTTCTTGGCCTTGGAAACTCCAGCGCCAGCACTGGCCGAGAAAGCATCTTCGGATGCCCACTCGGAGTGTGTGATCTAGAGAAAATACGATTATCAGCGGGGATTCAAGATGCGATGTGAGAGTATTGGAATGTAGTAAATGAAGGAGATGTCGCATACGTAAAGCTTATCGGTTCCTATAGTCAATAAAGTTAGTCTGAATCTATCTAAAGAGAGACTCTCACGCAAGACATACCTTTTCCCATAATTGCAGATCAAGCTGTTTCTAGCAACTTTCGCGCAGCCCGCGGAGATCAAATGACGGCAGGACACTTACCGCTTTGAGATTAAAGTACGGGTGGACTGCGCGGGCGAATAATATTGCCAGCAGAAAATACATAGAGTAGTCATCAGGCGGAGAGAAGAGCGGTAAGTTCCTCCAACGGCCGTTTCAGCAGAGTCACTTCGAACAAACCATGTGTACCCAGAAGTATAGCGCTCAAGGTGTCTTTCACTGAAATAGTGCCTGAAATCCTGATTTTGGCCTGGCAGAAAAACAAAGATACCTGAAATACCAATACAGATCCCTTATCAAGCAATGTACCCTGGTTCTGCCGTTGAATTTTGTATGGGATCAAAGCAAACCACCCTAGAAATGCAGATATTTGAATTTTGCATGGGATCAAAAGCTTCATTCTTCTATATCTCGGGCATAATAGTTGTTCCATGCCGAATGATTTGCAGTACAGTGTATATTGAGGCCTAAAAGCGGTCTAATATCAGGCATGGTTAAGGCGTAAATCAGGCCAAAATCAGGCTTTCAAGCTTTAATCTAGTGAAACGAACCCTGGGTGCTATAGACCTGCGTACCATGTGGTTTGATCTTTCAGAGTAGTCTGAATGTTTCCGCTGAGGTACGTGACGACTCCCCCATGGGCTCAAGAGCCATTGCATATTGGAAAGTAGGTCGGGAAAAGAAATATCTCCATATTGTGTTGTCACAAACATACGAAGCTCAGTTATTCTAGGGAACACAATCCCGCGTAGATCACATGGAGTATCTTCGGGGCCTGGTTCCCTCTCATCGAAGACACGTGTAGTACCAGAAACTACAAAGTTGGCATAAAACTGTCGACGGCTGTCTTAGAGAGGGTCTCGACTGAGAGGTCAACAGCGTACCATATCATAAGAAGCGTTTCGACAAGCCAGAGCTTGTTCACTAGAGCGCAATGACGCAAGGAATCTCGCTTTCGTGGTCCGAACCAGTCTCTCCGCACAAACGAGAGGATTAGGCCCACAATCTCAGCGATTCCGAGTGCTCGCTGTGCGGCAGTCATTTTTCCATGGGGAGGCATTTTAGTGGTAAGTGTGATAGTAGGAGAAGTTCAACTATGTTGACTGATGGAATAGAATAAATGGAGGTAAGTTGCAAAGGCAAGAGGAAAAACAAATGATGTGAATCCAAGTGTGGGACTGTGTTTGTTGGTGTTCTTGGAGAACTGCTACTAAGGGGAGAAGCAGAGGAAGAAATCTGGATATCCAACCTGTGGGAAAGCAGGGCATTTATACCATGAACCTGACAAACAAGCGCTCAGTCTGCAAACAACGAGATATTGGATCATCTCAACAGCTGTACGTACCCCCTTCTGCAGGTGAGACCTACGTCCTTCAACCCACTGTATCTCAGAAACAGTTGATATGGTTCCACATTCTTTGAAGTTCAAAGGTGCAAGGGAAGAAGGGAAGTGGGTGTGAAACAGAGAAATAAAATTAATGCCTGAGATACTAGGCTAAAGGTATAAATATGAGACATTTCAACAGAACCGGTTCATATTGCTCAGTTGACAAAGTCGTCTTGACTACATATTTACTAGACAATCTACCTGTGACATCCGGAAGTCTGGACTAGACCCAGCAATAACACTGGCTGTGTACTGATAGCTATCACACAACACTAGTTCTTTCGATTATACTATGTATTTATTACCTACACGCTGAATATGTTCTCACTCCCAGGCTAGTTCTGTGATTGCTCTATTTTCAGTTGATTATAAATCTATAATCTTGCATAGAACAGAATCTAGGTTAAATTGATACTCAGCCTTGAATATAGCGCCCGCTCGATCATGAGATGCTATAGGATATATCCTACCCTACCAATCAGAGAGATAGACTGAATCAAGGAGTAAAAGAGTAAAGATATAGTCTAAACTTGATAAACATGAAATATTGACCGCACAAGAAAATCCACCGCTTCCTTCCATGTGAGGTACCACCAAAAGATAGATACACGTTAAACATCCCGGTTGAGATTAACATCAGAGCTAGCTGTATTTAGCTGAAGGCCAGAGTACTTGTGCACGATGTTTTCAACACGAAACAAAACTGCAACCTTGCCACCCCTCAGAAGTGAACTTATCTCGCTAGGATGATAAAGGTGGAAAATCACCATTGCTATTAGTATCAAGCCAGCATCCAGAATGTAGATATAAATCTCGTGTATCATCAAGTTTCCCTGTGGTCCCTGCATATACTCAATCACACGGTATATGCAACGGACAAAAATCAATATTCCGACCGTGAAAAGGGTCATCATGTGTTTTTGCCACGGCATTGATCTCCGGTTTGCTGTAAGCTGTTTGCGAAGCTTGATAGAGAAATTGATGGCGTTCACGAGAAAAAGCCCGAAGAAAATAATCTGGAAAAACAGACCAACCTCAATAATTGCCTTACCAAGATTGGCGCTGCTTGGGTTCTGCTTGGCGAGGATCGACCCTCCTTTTAGTTTAGATACAATATTAGCATGTTGTAGTTGGTATACCGAGAATAACCCTCACCTATCGCCTGGAACAAAAAGGATAAAACATCGCCGGTCACGAATATCTTCGTTATCAAGCTTCTTCTGACAATAGAATACTTCTCGCCTTCTGTAAGGTCGACCAGAAGACCAAATTCCATGTATATCGAAGCGGCCAGCAGAGCGGGGGCGAGAAGGATCCCCATTGACTGAATCACAAAAATGACCAAAGTCCAGTTTGGAGTTTGATGGGCGTTGACGGCACGAGCAGCGAATCCAACCGTTTCGACTAAAGTATCGAAGGACTTCGTGTTAATAATGGAGAATGAATTTCAAAATCGAGTGTGTTGACATTGGAGAGAGATCACTCACAAACTCCACCGATGCAGAACGGTACAAAGAACCATGTCTTGGTTGCGGTAGTTTGGTATATGTGGAAAACAGTAGTCGCCAAGAATAAAAGTGCGAAAATTGCAGCGGCAGGAAGAGAAGGGTCATAGTGGTAATACCGTGTTGAGTTTGCCATGGTGAGAGAAAGACTGATTATTCTTAGTACTGTCAATATCACTGAATTGAAGGAATTTGAGCATGTTATATACTCTGAAAATGGTATGGGGCTTACTGTCTGCGCCTCGTTGTGCAGATATAGTTTGCTGGTCGACGATCTATATGCGTGATGATCTAAACCGCTTTGGTCTAAAGTCCCGTAAACTAAACTGTTTTGGTCAAGGTTTCGTACACTAAACCTAATTTGGACCGTATCAACCGCTGCTCTCTTCCTTACTACAATTGGTGTTTCGCGTATTCGTAGTGGAAACGAGCTTTTACTTTTCTAACAGAAAGGATCACTTTTAATTGGTATTATTAATTGTATGGCTTGAGTGATGGTATTACCTACATGCCTTGCACGATCTGCATTCTTCTTTCCTACGGAGGCACACACGCGGAACATCTATTCGGTTTCTCTGCTTCATGATAGAGCTTCAAGGATAGAGCCATATCCATCTTCTAGAGGATGTCCACTACGTCTTCCTGGGTGCTTGTGGGGTACGTGCTGCTGGTGCCTAGTCTGCATTGCCAGACAGCCATCGAGCCGTCCCCGTTTCATTACATCCTTTGGTTGGATCAAAAGTCTTCCAAGACTCACCTATCCATTTGGATCGATTGTGCTTGAATTCTAAGTGTACCTATTCAAGTATCACTTCTCTTGCATATCCTACACAAACACATCTTTTCATGTACTAAATCTCTGCAAGGCGCACTTTTATCAGCAGTCGGTGAATGTGGCCATTTCCCCCTACTTCTTTGGGAGTATGAAGAAATGATTTTTTTATTAAAACAGGACCTAAGACAATACATATATATTCTAACTATTGGGATACCACAACAAATTTTCTCCCGCCAACTTGAAATTAAACAGAAACCAGAACATCTGAAAGCTCACCACTTGAAAGATCAACCTGCCCAAGCGGCCATTTCATTTCCAGACTGAAGATGGGATCGACAAGAACCATAATAGACTTGATCACGTCGGCGGCCCAATTCTGCAAGAACCATCGGCGCGGTGCATAATTTGCCAAAGAACACCCATAAGCCAAGATTATCAGAGCCATCTGCTGTCTCTGTCGCAAGAGTTCCATGTAATTGTCATTCATGGACAGAGACCAAAAGATTCTGGGAAGTGCCAATCCGCTAACCAGACAGGATTTCAAGCGACTGATAGCGTCCTGGTATATCGACGTTGTTCTTCTGGACTGCATGGACATTGCGTTAGAATTCGCTAATGCAGTCAGAGATTCAATGACAGAGTCTTCAACCACGAGTCCAGGTGGGCTAAGAAATGAACGCTCGCCTTGTGGCATATTCTCTGTTAATCTTTGGACGGAGCTGAAAAGACCCCAGTAGCCTCGCGAGGCAGTCAAAATAGTTACCAGACTGTCAATATGCTCGCCAGGCTGTTTATTACCCGATACATGCATGACACAGCAGGAGAACATCAGGTGCATGCTCGAGAACAAAAGCGTGGCGGTGTAATTAGATGAATTAATTTCCGTAACGTTGGAAGAAAAAAGTTGTACTGATTTTTCATGATGAATTTGAGCGAGTGTCATATATGAGCGTGTTGAATCTCCTGACCCACGAAGATGAACGATATGTAGAGCGGACATCGCGAAGATAGCATGCATCAGATATTCATGAGCCATGGCTTGCCGTGGGACAACCACGCGCCACATCTGATCTTCTTGGCCTTTGTCATTAAGGGAGAGTGAGGTGCTGGTCAAATAATGATGAAACAACTCCATCTGCCCGAGGTTGATGGTCACGTCTGGCAAGGGGCGTAGTGTTTGGAAAGATTTTTGTTGGCTAGTATATAGACTGTCAGTTTATAAAAGAAACACTAGGAAAATACAAAGCTGGACATCTGTACGTGGGTTTTGGCTCAGAAGCTTTGGGTGCAGAGACTCTTTTGGGTGGATATCCCAGAAGTTCATATTCGCAATATTGGTTCCGCCTTTCACAGTGACCACATCGCGGTAGTCTTTCATCGCACTGTTGAAGGGTTAATTTAACTGCATGTATCCCATGCTAGTATGATGGGAACGAAGCTAGACGCAATAAATGCATATCTTACCTTAATACGTCTTTTTTTGCACTGCGGACATCCATTGCGGGATTTCTTATGGGATTTGCGTGAACCGCCGTACGCTTCGGTCATATTTCTTGACGGCAGAGCTTGTAAGGGTAGTATCTGGTCAGGGAAAGGACAGCTTTGACGTTTTGCGACCCCAGTGTGAGAGTGGCGCAGTAATTGTCAGGATTCTGGATCAAATTTCCCCCGGATTTGCGTACCCCCTAGAGCATATAGATAGCGTTACGTGAAGCCCATAAATGGGCCCGAACCCTGGGCCTAAAGCCCAACCCAACCTACAGCCTATTTGTAGGGGCCTTATATGCCCCTATTAAAGTCTATCTTAGGCGGCCTCTGTAATCTCCATACAATATTATATTCTAACCCTTTTACTAGTCGTATAAACTTCAAATTTAGTGTAAATAATACAAGTAGCTATATAGGTATATATTTCAATTTTAAAGAGAATTCGACTAGTAGAGGTCGAGATATTGTAAAAAAATGTTGTTTTACTACTTAATATAAAAACGCGCTTTCTCACGTTTTTAATCGTGATATGAAAAGATAACGAGTAATTGATTCTAAATGATTTGCCTTAATAAATATTACCTTAACGGGGGTAAAACGAAGGGTATCTTTAAAACCCCTAAAGGGGGGTTCAACTTCCGAATTCTCGGCATATTTGTACTGTTTGGGGCCAATTTGGGGGCCTATTAACCCGTAGTAGGCTTCTCCTTAGCCCTATAGCCACCGGTGGGCCCGAAGGTAGGGCCCAAAGCCCAGCCCATTTGCGGGTTGGGTTGGGTTGGGCTATAGGCTTTATAGCCTTTGCGGAGCTCTACATACCTATAGACCAGGACCCTTCAAGTTAATTGCCAGCTGGCTGGCCTTTTGCTAGGAGTGTACCGTAGTTCATTTCGCAAAATGTGTGAAATCAGCCAGGGATAATCTTTCATTCAGGGGAGTCTAGTCCAATCTGTCTGTTAGACGTAGAATTATCGATCTGCCTGCTAGATTCATATGAACCCAAAGTCTACCGTACTTAATCTATATTAATATTGACTTTTCTCTGTAGTTGAAAGCTTAAAGGAGGGAAAAAAAATTCCGAAGTTCCCGAGTGCTTACATTCCCCTGATTTATGTATCAAGATTCAGCAGGCCAGAAAGTCCTGGAGTGTTCTCAAAGTAAAGGTCTAATCAACCTCAAATATGCGGGATTTCCCGGTCCATAACAGGCGTAGCACTGGCTGAACTCATAGCGAAATATTTGCCCGTTATATCATAAACTGTATGAATTAGGCTTGAGAATTTAGTGAACACACTCTATAGCCTATTATGGCTTCAAAGTCGGGCATTGATAGATACCAGCCTTAACCTGATTGGAGAATGTTTCAACCTTCAACATATATGGGTGTCCTCGAGTATATAGATGTGATCGGTCAAATTTCCGATGTGGGGAAACGTTTTGAGGCGTTATTCCGGAATCTTTTGAGTTCACCTGCCCTTTTTTTTATATTTGATTTGATTCGTTTTCATAACTGATTGGCTTGAAATCAACTGGAAGGGGATGGCGGTTAAGCGGGCCGCCTGAGACACTTGCCGCTTTTCCGACTTGGTGGGGTTGAACCCCCGCTTACCCGCCAAAGGAGGCTATCAGATTGGACTTGAGATATTGCGAATTTTTAGATATTATTGCCTAAATGGACGATGGGTCACATTGGGAACATCTCGTATACTTAAAGGCAGCAATTATCCCATTATTTCGTCCATCCGAGTTCAGTCTAAAGCTTTACGCTTCTATTTGGAGAAACAGTTATCATGACCACCGTCACCACCACTATTCCGCCTCTCAATCAATCTTCTTTTGAGTGAGCTCACCATGTCACCCTGTATTAGACAACAATGACTAATTGAGGACGTTAGCCTGATTGGTCCCTATGGCGATTGGAGAGATGACCTTCATAATCAGGGCTATGCCGTGATCAAGAATGCTATCGACACAGAAAGGGCCATAGGCTATCAGCGCAAAGCCCTGGAGTGGCTTAAGTCTTTCAGCCCAGCCCTCGATCTTGATAATCCTTCCACGTGGACCAAAGACAACTTGCCTGTCCAAGGCCAAGTGAATACATTCAATGGGTATTCCGTCACCCATGAGAAATTCATGTGGGATGCTCGCATGGAACCAAAGGTATTGGAGGCATTTGCCAAGCTCTGGGGTACCGACGAGCTACTCGTCTCGTTTGACGCCTTGAACGTCACTCTGCCGAACCAAAAATATAAGCCTGCTCTAAAGCCATGGCCCCACGTGGACCAGTCGCCGTTCCGTCGCGGGCTCCACTGTATTCAGGGCATTATCAATCTAAGCCATGCGGGTCCCGAAGATGGAGCCCTGATGGTGTTCCCGAAGTCAAACACCGTAACCGAGAGGTTCTTCGACACCGAGACCGATCCATCCACCTGGGAGCAAAAGGACATCCGCCTATTCAGCGTGGAGGAAATCAAGTGGTTTGAAGATCATGGTATGAAACCCTTCAAGGTGCTCGCAGAGCCTGGCGATTTAATCTTATGGGATTCACGTACTGTGCACTGGGGTGGAGAACCAACAGTCAACAGCAACACGATTCGAACGGTGATTTATGCATCATATGCCCCTTGTGAGTTAGCCACAGAAGAGAGTTTGAGGCGGAAGAAAGAAGCTTTTGAATCTTATCGAGCCACAACTCATTGGCCACATGAGAATATAGTTATACGGGATGGAGTGGTACGTCTCCCGGATGGCAGTGTTGATCCCCGCAATCGATCTGTACCGTTGGAAGTACCAGAGCACACAGATCGATTACTTCAACTAGCAGGAGTAAAGTCTTATCGGTAAATTAATAGAATTCGGTGTTTTGTTTTTTTTTTCTTCCCCTCTCTTTTGTTTTGGGTGTCCACATGAAACTAAAGCACACTTGATTATTAAGGCGAAGTGTTCTTTTTTTTTTCAATGGCGTTTTTTTCCTTGACCCCGCAGTGAGCCTTTGACGTCGATCTTCCGTATTGCTCACAAAGCAAATATGAAATCGTTTGAATCTCGCCCTCCCGTTGATTATCCACGGAAGCGTGCATCAATCGCATGTAATTTTTGTCGACATCGGTACGCTTTGAATTCTTTGTTTGGAAACGTCACTAAAAGTAGACAGGAAGCGAAAGTGCGATGGTCAAAAGCCGACATGTGGCCTTTGCACCGATGCGGGGGCTCAATGTGTCTATCAAGAAAGCGACAGGTAGAAAACGTCAAACTCATGCAAAGGGTTCCTAGATAGTGACGATCCATAGAGTGCAGGATATTCCCGCTGAAATCCTGCTTCGTTTGACCCATCTGGAAACCCTGATCGAGCAACAAAAGGATGCCATCAACGAGCTCTCAGCCCGAGTAGCTTCTTCATCAGATCATCTAGCTCGGTCGGGTCCCTCTATTTATTCGTCACAGCCAAAATACGATTGGGATCCATCATCGGAACATGTCTACGATAAATCCTCCTTCGGCCTCTTTCCACCAGAGAACGCATACGGCAATGAATATGCATTTACTATTCCTTTCGGTCATCATACGCCAACAGGAAGTCTACTTGCGTTAGATCGAGTCAAAAATTTGGTTGGCGACTACCCCCAAGACTTTTTCAAACAGATAGAGAAAAAGCGGCCATTCAACAGCATCCAGGTCACAGGCATACCTCAGGCATTTGAACAAATCGACAGATCCCGACTGCATCCCCAGGTCACCAAACCTCTGATCACCGAGTTCCTCCACCATGTCCATCCATTCTTCCCAATTGTCGAGCCGCAGCTGTTACATATGCTCTTTGACACTTTCTCGACATACACCAAGGTCAACAGCATCCAAACTTCACTTTATCTCATTATTCTGGCTCTGGGAAAGGTGGCCTCGAATCCCCAACGAATTTTTGACATCGAAGCCGACAAAGATCTGAGTGGGATGGAATATTTCGCTTCCGCATATAACTACTTGAACAACCCGTTGATAACGTCCTTTACAGCGGACCACTTGTTGCCTTTGGCTTTATTCTACGGCTCGATGTATCTGCGTTACATAGGACGCCCAATCCAAGCATGGCAAATGATCCGTGATGCGTCTGGTAGTGTTCAGATCATGATTTCCGAGTGAGTGTCTTCTCTGATACATGTTTCCTCTATGATATTGATATGAATTGGATACAGACTACATGACATGAACACGCACGAAGAGCGAGCGAGTCTCTATCGAATTGCATGGGGTTGCTTCATTCTCGAATGGTTGGTATACTCCCTGGGATTATCCTGCATTCAACTAACCACCTCGACCCAGTGACGATCTCGCAGAGTTTCATTTCCCTCCCAGTGGCATTGAACTCCTCGTCGACAGATTACCCTTTCCTCGAATTGCGGAAGATAGCCGAAATGGCCACCTTGTTTTCCTCGCAATGTGCTCCATTCGAAAGCTTCTCAACCGTGTGCACAGTGCTCTCTATGCAAAATCTGACCAGGAGAATTTCCATGCCAGCCCTCCGCCTCAACACACCAGTGATACTCCCGGTGCAACCCCCCAAAAGAATTGGATTACATCTCTGAAGACAATTAGCGAGGAGCTCGACCGTCAATTGGAGGACTGGTTCGCCTCTCTCCCAAATCCCATCAGACCAACCCTCGGCAATACAATATCCGCAAATCATCCTTACGACACTTACATTCTCGCCCGGTACTATGTCACAAAACACATCATCTGCCGCCCGAGTCTAGTTTTTGCTGCCGACACTCAGGGCAGTACGGTGTTGCCAGAGTTTATTTTCGCGAATTGCAAGAAGTGCGTCGATAGCTGTCGCAAATTCATATGGGCCGCATCAATTATTATGCGGCAGAGAACACACGGAAACTGGCACAGAATGCAAGCGTAAGATCGCCTTTTTATTTCCAGGTGGCTTTTTGGCAGGTTGAAGTTCACTCACTTATTTTACACATCTAGAATGCTGGCTGCTATTTTTACTCTCTCGACTGCGAAA